GAGAATGTTCACTGTCACTGGGGTTTGAATTAAAAGACCTGTATTCACTTTGCTAGCTTGGCTGGTACTTTGCCACTTGAGCCATGTCTCTGGCCCTGCTTTTCAGTGGTTAGAGACAAAAGTCTCAGACTTTCTGCCTGAACTAGAAGATCTCAGCCTCTTAAACAGCTAGGATTACAACGTGAGCAACTGACACCTGGCAAGAACCATCATTCTTAACACGAATATTTTCTACTTTCAGTATTTACTGTAGCACAAGCAGCCAATTCCTCAAATGACAGTTTACATTTCTAGTCTTACTTTATAGGTTATAAACTTTGTTTATGGGTTATACCCACAGTACATTGTGCTAAACTATTTCTGGGTACCAATTTGGCAGTTGATATGAGAAAGTTAAATATCATAGACTCAGCATTGTCTGAAGTTGAGTTGTACATTTTTTTCTATAAGGTGGCTGGCTAAATTTGTCACTATAAAATAAGACTACTCCTCTGATCAAATCAAAGCTCTGATATATATTTTATATAGAACTTGGTGAAAAATTCTCTCTTATCTCTTATTTCACAAAGACCACACCCATGAGTCTCAGCTCTGCCCCACTTCCTGGTTTTCTCTATACTACAGGCATTTGTTGCTGAACCTCAGGCATTCTGAAAAATGTATTGTTGGTTGATTTTGTCACTGTGCAAACATTACACAGAGTGCTTACACAAACTTAGATGGTATAGACTATTACCTATGTAGGTTGTATTGTACAGCATTGACTATGAGGCACATAACTGTATTTTTTCTCAGACTGTTTATCTAATACTGTGGCTTTAACAGTGTAACGGTGTAACTGGACATACGTGTTCTTTTCATTGTTTTGTAATAGTCCTAGCTATATAGCCCACAATGGCTATGAGCTTTCAATCACCTTGCCCCTGCCACTGAAGTGCTAGGATAACAAGACAAGCATCACCATTTGCAACTTCACATGACCTTGAAGGCATAGTCTCTCCCTGAATAGGGGCCATGTTAGAATCTAGAGATGGAAGCGGAAAGATATAATTTAAAATGGCTAATCTCAATGTTTTCCTAACTCATATAATAAGGATATTTATAGATGAGGAAACAAGCAGAGAATGTCTGTAGAGGTCTAGAGAATGAACAGAACAGAATGGTATGGAAAGGAACAACTATTACTGTCTTCTATGACTTGTGAGGATTATTTTAAAAAGCTGAAAAACATTGTTTCTTGGCCTTTTGGCTAAGATCGTGTAAAAAGTTGAAAAACATCAAGATTAAGAGAAATGTGGAATCAGTAAATGTCATAAAATAAACTGTAAATTTATTATTGATTCCAATAAATTTTCTTCAAGCAATTTAATATATCCTTTATATTGTGAAGTCTTCGATTTCTGTCTTTACAGTAAGAGACTCTTCACAGCAAAGTTACATAACTGTGTTTTGTTCTGGTGCTTAACAGAAAATTCTTCAAACTTGAATCTAGTGCAAATATTTCAAGGACTCACACTTTCAACTTGCTAAATACCATTAAAATGGAATTCACATAGTCACCAATGACTCATACCTGTAATTCTAGCTACTCAGGAAGCTGGAATCTGAAGATCACAGTTGAAAGCCAGACCAATTAACCACCAGCTCAAGTGATAGAGCATTAACCTTGAGCAAAAAGGCTCAGAGGACCCAGGCTCTCAGTTCAAGGGCCAGGGTCAGCACAAAAAAAGCGGGGCAAATGGAATTCACATTAGTTTCCTTAGTTCAATGAATGTCCTCAATGCAATGAACTTTTTTTTTAAGACTTTTTTTTGTCAAGGAAAAGTACTGATGGTAAGTAAAAGCTATTGCAGATTACAGCTACTCAAGCTATTTATTTCCATTATTTATTATTCATAATTTTCATTACAGTTTATCTCTACATCTCTATAGGGAAAGATAAAAAAATCAGGTTATTGTCTAGGATATCTCCCCAAGATCACTATTACTTTCTCAAACTCTTTTCCTAATAAAACAAAGACGCTGCCTAAGGTCATCTTTAAAAGTGATCAAAAAGTGACAAAAATAATTGCTTTCAAGAGTTAATAATTCTACCAAGATCACTTAAAGACAATTTATTACCTGTGTATTAGCCATTAGTTGAGGAAAAAGGTGAACTTTTGCCCACCAAATAGGTAGCCTGTATTCCTTCAAAATCAGCCCTACTTCACATACACCAATCTATATACAACACATAACCTGACTATTCTAAGTATATGTTAAAATAAGTATATACATGTGGAACATGTGTATTTTCTCATTTACTCATTTTGATACCCCTTGTGGGTTCTGACTACAGTTAAATGTCAGCTTGGTTATTAACTTTAAAGTAAGTCATTTCCCAGCAATACTGGGAAATTAGTGACAACAAAGTGAAACTGATGGCTTCTTTTAGGTCCATGTCCATGTAGAGGAAACATAATTGGAATAGAGGGGGAAAAATACTATGTAAGACACATAACAAAATTTAAAAAGCTGTGAGGGCATGGAGAGTTGCTGAATAGAATCAGTATAGTAGTTGATAGTACTGGTGCTCCAACCTTTTCAGTTACTTGGATTTACTCTAAGGAGGTTTTGTTTGGTTCTGAACCATTTTGCTGAATATTATTGCTGTCTTAGGAACAATGTACTTTCATACTCATGTAGTTTGATGAATGAATTCTTTCAGATTTTGAAGAATGGAGTTCTCATGCTATTTAAAACATGTTAAACCAGAAACTCTTTTTTTAGGAAATCAGTACACCCTTGATACCAATAAAAAGACACTGTCTTAAGATACATATCATATATATGCGACAAATATGCCATATTTGTATCATTTCTATACACACATATACATATATGCCAAATGAACCTTCAATACCTATTATTTAAAAGTTTTTAAACTGGTAACTAATACAAATAGACTGCCATTCCTGCCAAAAAACAACTTTGGCCATAACCCAAACATCCATTCTCTATAAAAATTCCCTTATAAACTATAAATACTAAAGATGACAAAATAAAACCATCTGTAAGATAAGAAATAAGGTAAAGATAATATATATTATATAATATTATGTATTTATTGTAAGGTCCGCTCCTGGATGGTGAGCAGACTCCACCCTCCTCGCAGCAAAGTCTCCACCCAGTACCTGCGTTACCTAGGCAACTGAGACACCTGGAAGAGGTCACATCTGCATCCGCTGAGGTCACATCTGAATTTGATGTGGCCACACCTTTCTCCGCCCATACCCAAGATAAGGCCTAGCCCAGGCCCAGACTCTCTTTTTTCTCTCTCTGTTCGTTTCTAGCTCTTGCTCTTCTTTTCTAGCTCTTGCTCTTCTTTTCTAGCTCTCTCTCTGCTCTAGCTCTTTCCTCTCTCTTTCCCAGCCACGTGGAGTGCCAACCTTGCCTGGTCCCAGCAGGTCTACTGAATAAACCTACCCCTTACCTGAATACCACGTGAGTGCTACTGTTCTTACCCCTCTCTCTGCTCTTTTCTAGCTCTTTCCTCTCTTTCCCAGCTCTCTCTCATTCCCAGGCCTTTCCCAGCCACGTGGAGTGCCAACCTTGCCTGGTCCCAGCAGGTCTACTGAATAAACCTACCCCTTACCCGAATACCACGTGAGTGCTGCAGTTCTTACTCAGCTACCTCTTTTTAAAAACCTAACATTTATCACTTTTTGGAAGAAGCTAGCATTTCATTAAAGAAAGAAGTATAAAGAGAAATTATATTTTAATGATTGTTTTCCAACAAATCCAAGAATTCATTGAAACTAAATAATTTAGAAAGTTAGCCATATACAAACACATACCAGCAATAAGATACTAGAAAATATAATGGATAAGCTTCCAAAAAGATTATATGAATAGAACATAAACAGTTAACAAACTTCATCTCAAAGACAATGCAATAAAATCTAAGAAAATACTGAAAAATGAAGAGAAACTTGCCCTATGAACACTAAAATAGGTCATAAATCAGGTTGAGATGTGTACAGGAAGCAACAAATAGACACAGCAAGAGATTCTACTAAAAATGGCAGATGTACACATTGTAATTTATTATATTAGGGAAATATTTCTAGTCAGTTCAGCAACCACTGATTTTAACACATCATGTCTGGAACAAAGGCTATCCACTCATGAAGAAAACTAAATATCTTATGCAAAGTAAAAAAATAATTTTAGGTGATTACAGCAGTAAATCATAACATATTAAGAGGCAGTATTGGGGAAATTTTTAGTAATTTTTGAGTGGGGACTGTCTCCTTAAATACATGGGCATTTTAAGCCAAAAGTTGATAGTTCTTTAAAGTATCTGTCAAATCTTTCACAAAAATTAATGTACAATCAATAAACTGTGAAAAAAGGGCAAATTATGTGGATAGGGCATCTCAAGTGACGGTTTAACTGCCTTGACAAAGGAATACCACAGTGACATTACAATAAATAAGAGTTAAATAACTTCCAGTATATCTTAACATCTCAAACTCAGGATCATGTTCCTAAGAAAGTGGAATAAAATGATTATGCACATGTTAAATACGTGGAAGGTTTGGGCTGGCACATGGTTTGCCGCCTCTGTCCAATGAGGGGATAAAATAATTTTCCAACAGGATACAGCACATTTGTACTTCATATTTGGTAAAAAAAGTAGAGCATTTTCTTCCCCTTCTTCTCTCCCCTTTACTATCACTTCTTGTCAAAAGCGTCACTGGTGAAAGACGTGACACTTGGCAAGGCGGCTTTATGTTTTTTGCACACGTTCTCCTCCTTTCTACTTTTTGACAAATTGGGCTTTTTCCGCCTGTACCTCCGGGTTCGTGGGTTGACCCCGACTACCGACAGTAGGCAGGGCGGGGACTCTACCTAAGGCCCGGGGCTCCCTCGCGGGCGGGGCTGGCATCTGCTCGGCCCCCACCCCTTGTCTCCGTGACCCTCTGGGAAGTTACCCAACTTCTCACGGACAAGGTATGATGACACCCCGCGGGAAAGCGGAGGGCGGAATTGTGCAACCGCCTTGGGAGAAACAACAGAAAGAACCTACCCGAAAGTTTTCCAAAGAGCAACGCCGAGAGCTCTGGCTTCGAGGAGGCGGCCCGGGACAGCCGGGACAGCCGGGACAGCCGGGACAGCCGGGACAGCCGGGACAGCCGGGACAGGGTCCGCCCGTCACCCCACCGCGGCGGGCGCCGCCGCCCGCCACGGCCCAGGACCCAAGTCCCGAGGCGGCGCCGTGGAGCCGGGCCGCGAGGCACCCCGACCGCAGGGGCGCCGGGACCCCCGTCGCCGGCCAGGGTCACAGCCCCGCAGGGCCCACGGGGTCGGCTCGCGGCCAGGACTGGAGAGGCTTCCCCGCAAGAACCGCCCCGTGCCCCGCCTCTCAGCCCCGGCCTCCCCCCAGCCCTGGCCCCCCGCGCCGCCAGCACGCCCGGAACGCTCGCACTCCGAGCTCTGGGTCCCCAGGGTCCACTGACGCCGACGCCTCAGACCGCTCCCCAACACTCACTCACAGTTCGGGGTCCCGCCGCGCGCTCACGCCACAGGTCGCCGGCACCCGGCCCAGGGAATGCCACCGGAAGTGGCTTTCCGTTCCAGTTCAGAGGGCAGCGCCTGCGCGCCAAGCCAAGAAGGCTTCACCTTCAGGGTCAGGCGAGACTTCTCCAGTGCCGCCCCGCCCCGACAGGCCCCGCCCAGTCACATGCAAGCCCCGCCCCGTCAAGCCCCGCCCCCACCCTCCTCGTGTCCTGACAAACCCCGGCTCAGTGAGCATTTGGAGAAACAATACCACAGAAGGGAACCCAATGTCAAAAGTAAAGGTCAATTGAAGACTTTGCTTTGAATTTTGGCCAAACAATGCTTGTGAAGAGTAAAAAGAATCACTCAACAAGCTTAAAATTCAACTCCACCAGCCAACCCCTACAGATTTATAGTTCAAAGGCTACGAGAATTTGCATTTCCAACGTGATTAAGGAGGTTAACACACACACACACACACACACACACACACTTTTTTCCCCAACTAATTACACTTTTCAATAAATGTACTGGCTAATAAAGTTCAACTATTGGTTAACAGAAGTTGATGAGAAAATTCCTCAGACATTAAAATGTCCTTATTCCCTTCCCTATATATGCTTGAATACTTTCCAAGATAGAAATGTTAGACATTCATCCAGTTAAAAGAATCCAGTAAAAGAATCAAGCTCTGATTGTCCCAGTTTGTCTCTGTACTTCTAAACTATGGACGTTTGCACTTGTTTTCTTAAATCGGTGAGTTGAAGAATTTCAAAACCTCTCCAGTCACAGGACATTTCAGAAATAATTGACGAGATTTTAATTACATTTTTCTTAAGTTGTGTTGGTATATAACTCTAGTTAGTAAGCAATCATTTACGGTACTGGCGTTAGAGTAGGATGAAAATGAGAAAAGCAGATTTATTAAAAAATATTCTGGAGACTTTTTTAAACTCCAAAAAATAATTTTGAGGAGTTTCGAATATAAATCCAGGAATAAGGAAACTTGTATATATAAACAGCGAACTGCAACTTCAAATATCAGATATGATGTCAGTCAAATTTTTTGTGTGAAATATCCCTATTAAGAGAACATGAGCCAGCTGCTGGTGGCTCACGCCTGTAATCCTAGCTACTCAGGAGACTGAGATCTGAGGATCGGGGTTCAAAGCCAGTCTGGCAGGGAAGTCCTTAAGACTCATATCCAATTAACCATTAAAAAACTGGAGGTGGCGCTGAGCCTCAAATTGCAAAAAGAGCTCATGGACAGTGCCCAGACCCCAAGTTAAAGCCTCATGACCAAAATAACGAAAACAAAAAATGCAAAACACAAATCTAGTGGTCTGAAGAATACTAATGAATTGGGCAATAAATCTATTACTATATATGACCTGCAAGTAATATTTTGTAGCTCCTTGCCGCAATATTCCCCACTTATACCCCTATTACTCATTTTTAAAGCTTTGATTTAGGAAGTAACAATAGTATCCTAATAGAGGTAGATAGATGGGTGCTCCATATCCAGGCATGTAAAAACATTAAGGAAAGAAATTGGGCAGACAGAAATGAATGTTCCATGATTATCACTCAAAATCTTTTACAAGGGATAATGAAAAGGGAGATGAGATAGCTCAGATAAATGGGCTTTCTAGAAAATACTTAAAATCGACCATTTTTAGTTTGTCCAAAGAGCTAAAGAAAACTCATGGACAAATAACTAAAGGAAATCAGGAAATGATAAATGAATAAAATGAGAATAGCCTGGTAGTACATGCCTGAAATTCTAGCACTAGAGATACAGGGACAAGAGTACTGCAAGTCTGAGGCCAGTCTGAGCCATGAGTTTAAGTTCAGCCTGAGTTACATAGCAAAACCTGTCTCAAAATAAATAAGATTTGGGGTTGTAGCTAAGTGGTGGGGCATTTCCCTAGAACGTGCAAGGCAAATATGAAATGTGAAATATGAAAAACATTTAAAAACATGAAAGCAAAACAAAAAAAGAGAACAAAATGAAAATACATATGAGGTAACAGAAATTATGAGAAACTTGGAGTGGTATAGTACAATTAATAAGCACAAAATTTATTAGAGTGTCCAATAAGAGATTGAGTAGGTAAAAGAAAGAGGCAGAGAATGTGGTGATGAAACAATTGGAATTATCTACTAGAGGACTAGAAAAGAAAAAAAAAAACACAAACCTGAAGACTAGAATCTGAGGTTCTGGTGGGATTATCAAATTTACCAACATAGATATTATGGAAGTCTTGACACAGAGAAGAGAAAAAGAGCAGAAAAACTAGTGCCAGAAACAATAACTAGAAACTTTGCAATTTGATAGGAGACTGAATCTGCTTAGTGGAGGAGTTCAACAGACACTAACTAGTATAAAACCAAAGAAATCCATACTGAAGTATATTATAATCTATTAAAAGACAAAGCGAGAATCTTGAAAGTACTGGGAGAGAACTAACACATTATGTGAAAGGAATCATCAACAAAATTAACAGCCAATTTTGCTTTGAAATAGTGGCTGAACATAGTAGGATAATAGTTTAAATGCTAGAGAAAAAGTGTCAGACAACAATTCTAAAGCTAGCAAAACTATCAATCAAAAATGATGGAGAAATTAAGATATTCTGACATTAAACAAAAGTTGAGTAGGTTTGATATTAGATTTATCCAACAGAACCATGAAGGAATTCCTGAAAGCTGAAGAAAGCTGAAGAAAAGCCCAAAAGCTGAAGAAAAGCCCAGCATAGAATTTTTGAAGCCATAAGAAATTTTAAAAAAAAGTTAATAAATGAAATGAGTATAAATTTCAGCATGGTTTCAATTAACTCCTCTTTTATTTTGTATATGATTAAAACCAAGGGCTTATTTAAGAATTATAAGTGAATTTTAATAAGTAAAATGATATATAATTTGTAGTAACACAGAGAGAGATTAAGTTGTATAAGAATAAAGCTTTTAATGTTATCCAAACTAGGTTTATATCTATTAAATTAGGTTGTTATAGATTTAGTTTGTTAATTTTAATCCTCATGTAATCACTAAGAAAATATCTTTAGATATGTGTAAAAGAGCTAGGTGTTGATGTCTTACCTCTGTAATCTTAGCTACTTAAGAGACTAAGATTTGAGGATCATAGTTCAAAACCAGCCCAGGCAGGAACATCCTGAGGTTCTTACCTCCAATTAACAAGCAAAAAGCCAGAAGTAGAGATGTGGCTCAAGTGGTAGAATGCCAATCTTGAGGGAAAAAGCTATGGAATAGTGTGCAGGTCCTGAGTTCAAGCCCCAGTACCAGTACATACAAGGCATTTGCTTGGTGGTAGAGACACCAGATTTGCAAGTATGATTCTGTCAGTCCATAAAGGAGCTTCTCCTGGAGAAGGTAAGTCCTGAAAGTTCTGACATGGTCATTCTCATCAAGAAGTTGAGAGGTCAGGCAGCTTAACATAGGACAGAAGATAGCTAAAGAATATGTAATAGTAACATATTCATCTTCAATACAAGCAAGAAGTTGTGGAGAAAGGTAATGGTCTTTCTTCAATTTGACACTAAATCAAGATTAAAAGGTGGTTTAGTTTTTTCCCCATGAAAATTTTATTATGTCAAAAGCTACTTTGTCTAAGTGGTTCTTTAAGTAAATACTGAATACTAGTTAAAATTCAGAAACAGATTTCCTGTCATGAGGTTATAATAATGAATAATCTTTTAAAACTTAAAAAATTTATTTAGGAAATATTTAGTCAAAGAATGGTGAAAAGCAATTTCTATGCAAATGATCACAATAGAGACACAGAACTATGCTAATATTAGCTAAAATAGACTTCAAGTTAAAAACTGTTAGAGGAGACAAACCAGAACATTATGTATTCACAAAGGATAATTTACCTAGAAGATATAACAATTATACATATATCCACACCAAATCACAAAGCCCTAAAATATATGAAATAAATAAACATCAACAAAATAGAAGGTAGATAATCAATAGGACTTCATTACACAATGGAAACAAATAGAAAAGTAGGGGACCAGAAAGGGAAGAGACGATTTAAATAATACTCTAAGCCAACCAAGTCTGACAGAAATAAATATAGCAGTTGTTCTGGTGGCTCACATCCATAATCCTAGCTACTCAGGAAGTTGAGATCTGGGGACTGCAATTTAAAGCCAGCTGGGGCAGGAAAGTCCAAGAGACTATCTCCAATTAACCACCAGCAAACCAGAAGTGGTGCTGTGGTTCAAAGTGGTAGAGTGCTAACCTTGAGTGAAAAAGCTCAGGGATGATGCGCAGGCCCTGATTCAAGCCCCACGACCGACACACACAAAAAAAGTAAATACAGCACTCTACCAAAATAAGCAAAATATATACTCTTATTAGGACATGGAATCTTCTCCAGAACAGAACAAAAGTTAGGCCATAAACATTTCAATATATGTAAAAATATGTAAGTCACACAGGCTATCTCCTACAACCAAAATGGAATGAAGATTGTTAGTCCAGTGGGCCCCATTCCATAGTTTAAGCTCCTTTCCCAGGATTGGCCAGGCACCTTACTCAGAGAGTTTATCATTACGCCTCTTAGGTGTAGGCAGTAAGTAACGCACCAGGCCCTTTTGGTGCTGGCAATAAATTATCAGTCTCCTCCCACTTTCACCTTGAGTTGGTACTCCATTGGGGCAGTTACAACCATATAAGATAACAGAATCCCTTAAAGTGACCTTCAGTTTGGGCAGCTGCACTTCCCTTATCTACTACTTGGGCAGCTACCATAAGTCCTAGCCTGCCATGATGAAGTTCCGGACCACATGTCCACACCAAAGTCCCTGCCTCCTAATCCCTCTAAAGTTATAAAGGTCACCTCAGACACTGACTGGGGCTCCTTCTCCTTGCTGGTTCTTTTGCTAGCAATAAACCTTTTTTTGTTCTATATGCCCCTGTGTCTCCGTGGTTTTCTGGCAGGGCCTAACAGAGATGGAAATCAATGGCATGAATAAAACTGGAAAATGCATTATAGGTGAGAAAATTACCGACACATTCTTAACCGATGGGTCAAAAATGAAATCACAAGGACAATTTGATTGTGCTAGAAATAAATGCAAAAAAGAAAAAAAGAACACCCTGAAAAATGCTAAATCTAATGGTATATAGTGAATGCAGTGCTTAGTGCATTCACATGCACTATGCATTCAGATTCCAAGGAAGATAGATCTGAATTCAGTCATATAAATTTGTATCTCAAGGAACTAAGAAAATGAAAACCAACTAAGTCTAAAGGTAGCAGGGAAAAGAAACTTAACAA